GACGGGAGCGCCGCCGCGCTTCCCAAGCGGCGCACTATCCAGTGCGCCACCGGGCCGGCCCACAATAGATCTAATTTTGAGAAAAGTTAGAATCTGCCATGAGAGAGATGTCAAAAAACTGACAGATTTACCTGTTCTCTATATTATTCCTCTAAAAGCAGTTAATGTTTCCACTATCAATAGATCTAATTTTGAGAAAAGTTAGAATCTGCCGTGAGAGAGATGTCAAGAAACTGACAGATTTACCTGTTCTCTATATTATTCCTCTAAAAGCAGTTAATGTTTCCACTATTGGGAAGACGATATTAGATTCTACCTGGTGACATTCTTTAAGAGAGCGTGGACGAGCAGTGTGTTAGACACAAAGGTGCGCAGACGGTGAGCTGCGGGCCTTCACCTGGGGTCTCTCCTGCAGGCGACCTACCTCATGCATCTCCTGGGAGGTGGTGGAGGCCACGTGTGCCTGCCTGCTGGCCCAAGGTGAAGAGGCCGAGAGGGAGAGCTGCTCTAAGGGCCTGGCCGAGCAGATGATCCTGGAGGAATTCGGAAGATGCCTGTCGCAGATTCTCCACATTGAGTTTAAATCCAAGGGGTTGAAAATGGAGTAGAGTGCAGTACAGTAAGATATAAGTGCAAGCTGATTTTGTCTCAGTATTCTACAGGAAAGTTCTAGTTTAGAAAGGTTGTTTCCAGGAACCCGAGGCCAGATCTGCAGCACCAACTAGATGGTTAAGACTGAGCTTTTCCTCTGCCCCAGGGCACCCGTGAGTTCGTGCAGGCTCTCCAAAGGAGGTGGCCTCAGAATTCCCTTTTCTGCAGAAGTGTGTGGCACAAGCGCTGTTTGTCTGGGACTCTGCAGTCCTGGAGGGCCCCCAGCACTGGCGCGAGCAACAGGTGGAAGCAGGCCCTGGGACAGTTCTTTCCTGCCAGTTTCATCCCCTCGCAAGTCTTGCTCTAGAGGCCACCCTGCCTACAAACCCCAATGGTTTTTTGTTTGTTTTTTAAATGATTTAGATGAATTCTCCACGTGGGCTGTTACAGTCCACCTTAAAATCTCTAGAGAACTACTGAATACTCCGAAGAATCTCCATAGTGTAGACATTTCTCCAGAGTTTCAGGAATTCTCAGCCAGGCTTGCATCTGTTGTGTCTGGAGTTTCTGGACTTAAAACTATAGTTTCTTGTGTGTTTCTCTTTGAACCGTGGAAAAGGTTTCTTAACCAATTAACTTCTCCATAATTATTGTTGTAGTATTATCATTGTTTGTAAAATATGCTTTAAATAACTAGCTTGCAGAAACCAGCAGGTAAGATTAGTTAGTAAGTTGACTTTTTTGGTTCTATTGTAAAAGAAAAAATGAATAAAAATTTCCAATGTCTTCAATTGTCATGATTACCTTAGTAACTGAAACCCCTGAAATACATTGGAATAATGTTCTTTCATGTTTCTGTGTTTATTGGATAGTATTGGCCACTTGAGAGTGTTTAGAAAACTCAAGTACGCACACACCAGGGACAAAACCTGGGCACCTCAGTAAGCAGGGAGCCATCACTGGATTTCCCACCCGCTAACCCTGTTGCAGTGGAGATTACGTTTCCAGTCCATAAACTTTTAGGGGACACGTTTGACCCGCAGCAATGAATAAAGTTACTAGGAACATTTGTGTAGGGGTTTTGTGTAAAGATAAGTTTTTGTTTTTCTGTGATGAATGCCCAGGGGTTCAATTGCTGGGTTGTGTGGTATTTGCATATTTAGTTTTAAAAAAAACTACCGAACTGTTTTCCGGAGTGCTGTACCGTTTCGCAGTCCTACCAGCAGTACACGAGTCATACCTTCTCCACGTCTTTGCTAGTATTGGGGGTTCTCACAGTTTTTTATTGTAGCCATTCCGATAGGTGTTTAGTAATATCTAATTGTGGTTTTAATTTTCATTCCCCTAATGACTAATGGTGTTGAGCATATTTTCATGTGCTTATTTTCCATTTGTATATCCTCTTCACTGAAGTGTCTGTTCGTGTATTTTGCCCATTTTTAATTGGACTTTTTGGTTTTCATTTTTTTTCTTTAATGTTGAGTTTTGAGAGCTCTTTATATGAGTTAGATGCTTATCCCTTTAGGGGATTTCTGGCTTGCTAATACTTTCTCCCAGTCTGTAGCTTGTCTTTTCATCTTCTTAACAGACTCTTTTGTAGAGCAAAAGTCTTTAATTTTTATGAGGTCTAATTTATCAATTTTTCCTTTTATGGGTCATGCTTTTGTGAACCTGAAGATTTTCTCTTATGTCATTTTCTAAAAGTTTATAGTTTTAAATTTTATATTGAAGCCTGTGATCTATTTTGAGTTAATTTTTAAAGTAAAGTGTGAGACTTAGGTCAAAAATCTTTTTTTATTTTTATTTTATTTTTTGCGCATAGATGCCCAGTTGCTTCAGCAACATTTATTAAAAACCCTATCCTTTCTTTATTGATTTCCTTTGCACCACTGTCAAAAAGTCAATTAGGCATATTTGCGTGGGTCTCTTTCTGGGTTCTCTACTGTATTCTATTGATCTATGTCTGTCTCGTCACCAGAACCACAGTCTTGCTTACTGCAGCCGTATGAGTTTTGGAATCAGGTAAACTCTTTCTACTTTCTTTCTCTTTTTTGAAATCACTTTATTCTAGTTCTTTTGCCTTTCCATATAAATTTTAGAGTAAACTTATCTATTTCTTCACAAAATCTTGGTGGGATTTGATAGGAATTGTGTTAAACCTGTACATCAATTTGGAGAGAATTGACGTCTTTACTGTGTTGAGTCTTTCAGTCAATGAACATGACATGTCTCCACTTTAGTTAGATCTTTGGTTTCTCTCATCAGCGTTGTGTATTTTTCAGTATATGATGATAACGTGTTTTGTTATAGTTATACTTAAGTACAGTCAGCCTTCCACATCCATGGATTTTTGCATCTGATATCCAACCAATTGCAGATCAAAAATTTTGGGGGGAAAAATAGATGATTGCATCTGTACTGAACAATGTACAGACTTTTTTTTGCCATTATTTCCTAAACAATGCAGTATAACAACTATTTACATAGCATTTACATTGTATTAGGAATTATAAGCAATGTAGAGGTGATTTAAAGTATACAGAGAGGCCGGCCCGTGGCTCACTCGGTAGAGCGTGGTGCTGATAACGCCAAGGCCACGGGTTCGGATCCTGTATAGGGATGGCCGGTTTGCTCACTTTCGGTAGAGCTTGGTCCTGATAACGCCAAGGCCACGGGTTCGGATCCTGTATAGGGATGGCCGGTTAGCTCACTGGCTGAGCGTGGTGCTGACAACACCAAGCCAAGGGTTGAGATCCCCTTACCGGTCATCTTTTAAAAAAATAAAATAATAATAATAATAAAAATAAATAAATAAATAAAGTATACAGAGGATTGTGTGTATTTTCTATGCAAATTCTACAACTTTTTATATAAGGGACTTGAGCATCCTTGCAGTTTGCCTGCAACTAACCCTCATGGATACTGAAGGATGACTGTGTTTTGTTTTTTAGCCACTGTACATGGTATTTTTCCCTTTGGTGTCCATGTGTTCATTACTACTACATAGAAATACAATTGAATTTTGTATGATTTTTCTTGTATCCTATAACCTTGCTGAACTCATTTATTAGTTCAGGAGTTTAGAAAAAGTTTTTTTAGATTCCTTGGGATTTTTTACTTAGATAACGTTGTCATCCGTAGAGACTTTTTTCCCTTCCTTTTATTATCTATGTGACTTTTCTTTTTTTTTCTTGCTTTATGGCACTCCTAGAACTTGTAGCATTATATTGAATATCATAGTGGGAGCGGACACCCTTGCCTTGTTCCTGATCTTAGCGGAATCGTTCAGTATCTCGCCAGTAAGTAGGAGGATTACACTGCTCTGGCAGGGGAAAGGTTGGGGGTGCCACCTCATTACTGCCAGGTGGGGATAGAAGTCCAGGTTCTCCACTCAGCATTCATTGACACCTAGGGGTGCTGCTCATTACTGCTGGACAGGGGTGGGAGTTCTGGCTCCCCACTAGGCCTCTACTAATACCTCTCTTGCTAGGAGGGGTAGGAGTACCCCATTACTATCCCCCTTCCCATGGCCTCCACTGACACCACAGGGGAAGGGGTGGCCTTGTCACCACTGGGTGGTGGTAAAAGTGTTGACTCCCCACCAGTCTTCCTCCGACATCACCCCAGTGGGGAGAGGGAAGCATGCCTGTTACTGTGGGGGGCATGGAAGTCCAGGCTCCCAGCTGGTCCTTGCTGACACTGTGGTGGACGTCTTATTACTGCCCACGTGAGGATGAAGTCCTGGCTCCCTACTTGGCACACTAGGACTTTGCCCTGGTGGGGGGTTTGGACCACCCTGTTATGGCCTCAAGAAGTCTTGTCTGCATCTGCTCCCTCTTCCTGGAAGCAGAAATCAGTGATCATTTTTAAAAATCTTTTTTTTAAGTTGGATTGGAGATTGTTGAGCTTTCTGGTTTCTAGATCCTTCTTACTTTTTATCACGGATAAAATAGGGTAAAATTCAGACTTCAAAATGTCCTGCTAGAATCCCTTTTTTGCCTTGTAATATAAAAGCAAAAGTTTCAGGGACTACGTGTTGGAAAATGATCAGCTACGATCGTTTACATCTTCCTGAGACTGTGTTCAGGTTTCCTTAGCCTCCCAGCATCCTCCTTCCCTCCTCCTAAACAGCACTATTCTCCTTCCTCCAACGACCTCCTGAAACTCTTCCTCAGACCGGTCCGTTCGCTCACCCGCCGCAGCCAGGCCAAGTGCCGCCGGCAGCACACCCTGGCTTCTGCCCTTGGTTGGAGATGGAGTGAGTGGGAAGTAGACGGCTCTGGTCCTGATCAGCTTTTGTGACAGAGACGGCCACCCCCTCCAGGGGAGCAGCCCGGACACTTTCCCACCTCTCAACTACACGTCTCGGTGGCTCTCAGGTCGGCCATAATTTCTCACTTCCTTTGGTGGCTGGCGACACTTTTTCCTTGAACATACTGCTGCTGTGAGCAACGTATTTGTGCAGTGTGGCCGAGACAGCTCTGACCTCGCTCTCTCTGGGAGGTGACGAAGGCTCCTGTGAGGGCTGTCACCTCATCCATTGCTTTGTGGGTCGGCAAATGGCGCCACAAGCACCTCCTGTCCCTTCGAAGCCTCTCCTCCTGCTGCCACTGCCTCCCTCACTCCATTCATTCCTAACAGGAAGAAGGTTTGGAGAAGGAGGTAGATGGCTGAGTGGGGGGAGCCCCGAGACAGCGGTGGGTGGCTTTGGCAGTTCACAAAAGCCACTCACAAAACTCCCGCGTGCCAGGGGCCACTCTGGGACCCAGAGCTCAGACAGTCTAACACCTCCCCTTGTGCTCACGCCGGGAGTCACAGCGCAGTGAGGAAACACGAGTCTGCAGACAGAATTAGAGAGACGAGCATTCTGATCAGAGTGGCTGCACACACCCGGGGGGCAGGGGCAGGAAAGGCATCCTGGACAAGGTGACCCTGGAGTGGAAGCCTGTGGGATGGATGTGCAGGAGTCTCCCAGGCACTGGGAGGGAAACGTGCCTCAGGTGAGCACGGCTGGGCCCACAGCTGCAGCTGGTGGTGGTCTGGAGGACTGAGTGCAGGAGCCTGGGGGGCAGGGATGGGGTGTCCACCACCGCTGGATGGGAGGGGGCAAGGCTGGAGGGAGACCAGGCAGGACGGGCTGAGGGCTGGAGTCCCTGGAGAACTTGTTAGGAACACAGGTCTGGCCCACCCAGGCCTCCCAACTTAGGTGCTCTTGGGGGGGAACAGAGAGTGAAGGGTGGGCCCGGGTCTTTAGACCACCGTGTGGGTCCTGTCACTGCACCCCGAGCTGGGAGTGGACACCTGAGTCTGAAGGGCAGAAGACTTGAGGCTACAGGAGTGGACAAGTTACTCAAGCATGGAGCGTGGAGGAGGGGGAGAGCCCGGGAATGGCCAGATGGAAGGAGGGCAGATGTGCTTGGCACCAGCAGGTATGGCCAAGCAGGAGAGGGAAACAAGGGCTACATGTCCCTCGAAGCTGGTCGTAGGCAGCGACTGACTCCCATGCCTGGCAGCCCCCACATTCTGAATGCAGTGGTCAGTGGGCCACCTGGGCCTCAGGCTCTGTAGACCCCCAACCCACCCCAGAGGATGTTAATGTGCAGCCAAGGGTGACGGCCAGTGCTGGGGGCTACGTCCCACTGCCAGTGGGGAGAAGCTCTGCAGAGACCCCTCCCACGTGCTGCTCACAGTCTGCCCTGGCAAATACAAGAAGCCCTGCCTGTCGTCTTCAGTTCAACAGAAAGTGCCTGGCGCTTCCTCTCACTTGATTTCTTTTGGATCTTCTGGTATGATGTTTTGATTGCTGTTCTAAAGACCCCGACTGTCATTTTAGGAGAGCCGTTCCCACGTGCTTGCCTGCACTCAGCATTCTCTTAAGCACGCACGTCCTGGTCTGTAAAGTCCTTCAGGTTGTACTCACCTTACCGCCCTGGCCCCCATCTGTCCCCACCTCACCCCAGGCCCGACCCCTGCTGGCGACTTCTTTCCTCTCAGCACCTTCACAAGAACCAGAGAAGTCCCTCATCCAGCGTCCTGGTCTGTAAAGTCCTTCAGGTTGTACTCACCTTACCGCCCTGGCCCCCATCTGTCCCCACCTCACCCCAGGCCCGCCCCCTGCTGGCGACTTCTTTCCTCTCAGCACCTTCACAAGAACCAGAGAAGTCCCTCATCCACCGAGTTTACGGCTGCTGCAGCCTCTTCCATTCCCATCTCCCTAAAACCTCAGCTCCAGGCCGGCCGGGCCTTTGTCTGTCTCAGTAACAGATTTACCCTCATAATTATGTGACTTTATGTTCCCTGGACGTGTGATAAGAGGAGGTGTCTCAGACACTATTGGTGGTAGAATTGGGGGTTAGAATGTATATCCAGTACCCATGACTATTAGCAGGCCTTAGCTAAAACACTCTGGTGGCGGGTGATGACACAGAGGGTGGAAGGACGAGACAGCTCCAAGTGCATGCTAGTTTTTATTTTGCCCCTCAATAAAATAATTACCCAAAAGTCTTAAATTACAACAACACAGCATCAAAGAAGAGAACAGGAAGGGTTTACTCTGCATAAACTGGCCTAAGATTATTCGTCATCTTCAAATCTGACTTTAAATTACAAGCGCAGACGAACATGCCTGGGAGCGCCTCCTCTCAGGACTGTTCCAGGTCTTCCCCTGACACTGCAGCTGCCGAGGGGAGACCTGGCAGGCGACCCAGGGCCCCCGCCTCTGTGAAGGGAGACCACACATTAGCAGCAGGCACTGAATGAAGGGGCATGCAAGCGAGAGTCACTGTCACCACACATGCCATCGGACCGTGAACATGCTCCTTCCACCGCGTTCTGTGTCTCTCACCTTTCAGTGATTTTGTTTTGGTGGCTGATAGGTACAGGGAACCGATCCCTTGACCTTAGTGTGACAAGGCTTTGCTCTAACCAACTGAGTAACCGGCCAGCCCTCACCTTTTACTGATTTAACTCCCGTACTGAGTATGCGTCCGACACTGTCAAGACTTTTTAAATTCATGTTTTAAAAAAGTGTAATTCCTGGGCCGAGCCCGTGGCACACTCGGGAGAGTGCGGCGCTGGGAGTGCAGCGACACTCCTGCCGCGGGTTTGGATCCTATATAGGAATGGCCGGTGCCCTCACTGGCTGAGCGCAGTGTGGGCAACACCACACCAAGGGTTGCGATCCCCTTACCAGTCACACAAAAAAAGACACACACAAAAAAAGTGTAATTCCTGTTTGAGTAATGAAAATTGGTATCTCCTAATGAAAAATTGGCCATGTCACAATATAAAAAATAAAAAAATAATAAAATAATTTAAAAACCCTAGGAAGCTGAGCTGCCCCTTGCAGGAAAAGTCGTGGCCTCCCAGTTGTTAACTCTCAGAGCGCTGGTGCCTCTTTCCTGGCTCCTCCTACTGCAGCAGTTTTGACCTGTGTGACAATCTCATCAAAGGCCAGACTCTCATCACTGAATGAATGACAAGCTCATGCACGGAGATGCCATGGGGAGACCTCCTAGTCTACAGTATCTGCAGAAGACACTAGATGCCAGGATGGAGAGCCTTTCCAGCTAGATTTAAAGGCAGCCTGCATGGCAGGGTGGATGCATAAAGAAAAATCCCAATCTGGGCTGGCCAGTTAGCTCACTTGGTTAGAGTGAGGTGCTGATAACACCAAGGTCAAGGGTTCAGATCCCCACACTGGCCAGCCACCGAAAAAAAAAGAAAAATCGCTCTCTGAATATGGGCTCCTATTCACTTACTGTGCTTTCAAACTGTGGTTTAACATGGCTTACAAAGAACCTGGCTTGTAGTATACCAGGGCCCTAAAAGGTATAGCAGTTGCCACCACGTCGATAAATTTGGGTCCAGTAGAGTGAATTGTACCCTAAGGACTACTCTCTTCCTGGTAGCAATGTTGGTCCCAGTGGAATTCTACGGAATCCTTTCTTGATAGACCTTTTATGTGTCCAGTGTCCTAAGAGATGGAATTTTAAATTGGTAATACTTCACATACCTTTGAGATGCAAGAATGTCAGAAACTCGATGATTGTGCGCATGACATTGCTCTCAGGCATTGACCTGTCGAAGCTTCCTAGAAAACATAAAAGATCGATGCTGACAACTTGCCTCAACGGGTACTTGTGCGTCTCATGACATCGGCCATTCTATGGAGGAGCCTGGCACTGCGAGGTCAGAGAACTGACCCCAACAGCCTGAGGGCATCACTGTGCCTCTGGAGGGCCTTGCTCAATGCAGTGCGAGGGATCTGTCTTCTGGGGGCCGCTGTGCCTGGTCAGCTTTCTCGTCTGGAAGGGCGCCATGTGTCTCTGTGCTGCCCTGTGACCTTACTCAGATTTTGCTCGTTCTGTTTCTGGCTGCTGGCAGGTGCAGTGAAGCTGCATTGTCTTGTTAAGTCATGGCCAGGCCGAGCTTGGGCTGCAGCTGTAGGTAGGCAGGTGCCCTGACACCCACTACTGCCCCTGTGTGCACCTGGGGGATAGTGGCGAGTGAAGGGACTTGGAGCCCGGGGATTCAAATCCTCTCACCTGGCTTCGATTCTTCCTCAGGCTGGAGTTCCCGCTTGCCAGTGAGGCCATGCTTGTCGTGAAACGATCTGTGGTTGTCAATGGCATCTGCATGCAGGTCCAAGAGGAAAGCATCTGGGCGTTACAACGTAATGGAACTTACACCCCCCACTCCCAAAGGACATATGGCTGCTTATAACTAAAACACACACACAGGACTGTAAAAATAAAGCTGAAGCCACAGCAGAGGGAAGACAATTATCCCAGGACAGTGAGGACGCGTGACAATGTGCACAGTTCTCACACAGGTGCTGGGACTATGGCCCAGGTAAGAAAGAGAGTAAGAAAGGGAGACAGGTCACTCCAGCCGACAAGACAGGCCTGGGAATGCCTGGTGCAGCCAGGGAAGCACCGCGTCCCAGAGGGGCTGGCCTCCCACCCGGGTGCTTCCCAGGCAGATGACAGTGTCCCTGAAAACAAGGGGGCCACTGAAGAATTTCAAATTGTGACATCGTTAGATTTTGATTTTCAAAGACCACTCCGGCAGCTGCATGGGAGATGGATTGGAGCCAGGAGGGGTGAGCGAGAGAGACAAGAGAGTGGAGAGAAGGGAGGCAGGGAAGGGAAGGAGGGAGTGTGCACGTGTGCATGTGCGCGCGTGTGTGTGTGTGCGCGTGCTGGGTGCTGTGAGAGTGGGGAACAGTGACTGCAGGAGTCTAGGAAGAAACACAGGAGGGCTCTAAACCAAGAGGCGTGGGATGGAGAGGGGCTGGATTGGGGGCTATTGGGGAGATCAAGCAGAAGAGGGGAAGAGGTCGAGGGCAAGCATGCGCAGGTTTCTGGCTACTTAGCCCGGGGGACTGTGTCATCTACAAGGCTAGACAAAGGCAAATTAATCCATTTTTCCAGAGACGGAGTTCTTGGCACTAAATTACAGAGAAAGGATAAGTAACCCAATGTTAGGGACGCGCCGCTGAGCACAGTCACGCGAACCGTGTCCGGCAGCAGCTGTTGCAAACACGGTCTTTCTGTTGCCGTGTTCTGAGCCGACAGCAGAAGTCAAGGGCACACTGTAAAGCTGTAAAGTACTCTGAGGAACAGCTAGTCTACGCATGCAGCTTCTGGTGATCCAACTTGACAGAGATATAAATGCGACAGTGAAAACAAGTTTGTTTTCTAATTCAGGATTCAAAATCTTTGAAATATTGAAAATACATTTATCAAGAAGATCAAGAAGAAAGGAGTATTTTTGTGGAGTTCCTCCTTTCTTCTGGTGCCCTCTGAGGACAGAACCCAGGTTGCCAAGGGTTGAGGAACATGCGCACCTTTGAACCAGCCTGCTCAACTGGCAGGTCGAGCCACTCCGCGGCAGTCGGGAGCCCCTGAGGGACCTGCCATTGCCTTTGACTTCCCCATAGACTGCCCAGTCAACCCGGCACGTGGCCCCGTGCAATCTGCGTCACTGCTAGGCCTGTGCTTCTCAAAACGTGACTCTCGGGGATCCTCCGAGTGATCTGGTGGCCACGCGTGCCGCGTGAGGACATCTGGACTTACACCGTGCAAGGGAGTGTGCTCTGCGGGCCTCCTCTCGTGGTGGCAGAAGGCAGTAAATGGGGAAGATTTTTTAAGGTGGACGGCTGTCTCTAATCTGACACGCCTGCTAATTTAAGCCACTAATAGGTAATGGGTTGGAATAACTGAATTAGAGGAAGGAGCTAAGGTCTCCCCTCGTTCCCTCCTTTAGAATAATCCAGTCTGAAGGCGTCAGACCCAGACTGTGCAGGAAGCAGCCTGGGGGCAGTGTGGGCAAGCGCAGGCACCCACCTATGCAGCCTGCAGTGCCCCATTTAGGGCGTGGGCTCACGTTAGTGCAAGGCCCTGAGCTGGGCCGCAGGGATCCCGCTGACAATGGGACAAGGCGGATAGGGAGAGAGGACAGGTTTGAGTTGGAAGAGACCGATCTAAATTTAGTTTTGAGGTGAGCGTGTGTGGGCCACCTTCAGGTCACTTGGCAGTTCCCGTGTGGAGTTCAGAGAAATGTGGGGTGGAGGTAGGACTTGAGGTCCTGGTGCTTTGGACCCACAGCATGGATAAAAGGGTCTAAGGAGGCTGGGGGCCCGGAGAGAGGACCCAGAGCAGGGCTCCAAGGAGCTTCTACCTTCAAGGACTGCAACACAGGAAAGCCCGGGAAAACTTGAGCAAAGCCCAGGGTATGGATCCCATCAAGGTGCAGGGTGGGATGGCCAGGAGCAGGAGAAGCTTCTGGAAGGGTTGGGTGCTTGGGTCAAATGTGCAGAGCAGTCAAGACTGGCAATGCAGAGGTCCCTGGTGTCCCCAGGAGAGATTTCAGAGGGGCAGAGGCAGCCTCAGAAATGGAGTTTAGGGGAGGCCTGGCAGGAGGCCCTCGGAGGGCCTGCCCAGCTCCAAGTGAGGACAGGAGGTTCAGGAGGGAGCAGGCATCCCAAGGCTGGGGGCACAGATGGGGTCAGGAGCCCCCCAGGAATGAGCTCATCTGCTGTGAGTGAAAGGAGGAGCAGGGGGAGGGGAGGATGACTGGGGGTCTGGGGCTGCCTTTCAGGGAATGGGAGGGGGCCACCTAGCGACAGGACAGATATTTAAATTGAAAGCTGGTTAACCTCCATGGCAACCCGCCCCGCCTCAGAGTCATGGAAGTGTGCGCCCGCTGGCCACTTCCCCGTATCTGCCCAAACCTGGAATGTGAATGTACCACATATTTCGGAAAGGGCAGGATGAGGGCGACGGCCGCAGCCAGCCTCGGAGGCCTGCACTGGGGCCACTTACACGGGCCGAGGAGGTAGCCGGCGCTGTTCAGGGTCCAGCCTCTCTTCTCCTTCGCCTGAAACGGAAGGAAGGGGGTGCCCGGAGCCCACATTAAATGCGGTGCCCCAGGCTTTGCAGGCATGACGTGGGCATTAGAATGACGCAGGGCCTTTGGAAGCCTCAAGAAGTTTCAGATTTTCCCCCTAAACGAGCTACACTTGACATGCAACGGGGCTGTTTGCTCTACCGAGTGCCTCCCGCTAGAGCCGGAGACCACCGACTCAGGGCCCCTCGCTTGCTTTCAAATGACGCTAAGAGCATGACACCGTCGTCCGCCGCAGACGAGTGACACGCGCCCTGCGCGCTCCTGCCCTGCCCCGGGAGCCGCCGTCCCCGCTGCACGTGGCCCCGGCTGCAGCGGGAGCAGCCGGCGCGGGAGGGACCCGAGGGACGCCTAGGGAGCCCCTCGCGCTGGGCCCAGCCTTTGGGGACGCCGCAGGAGTGTCCCCACCGCGGGATGAGCCTCCCCTCCACTCCGGGGCTCGGACGCCGCTGCCCCTCCTCGCCCCGAGGGGACAGGGCTTTGCGGGGGCGTCTATCCCCGTCCAGCACTTACCAGTGGCCCGAGGCCCGGAGTGGCCGGAAGGACCGCGGCGAGCCTCCCTCCTACCTGGCTGCACACCACCGAAGTCCCCAGCAGGGGCAGAAGGGTCACCCTCCCCCACCCACTGAGCTGAGTATGGGGTTGGTCGAAGTCCTCTGGGACCCTGGGGTCGACAGGACGCAGGACAGGTGGTAGTGATGGAGCCATCCACGCGTCGTCTACACTTCGGTCTCAGGAACCTTTGTACAGACAGCTCGAGCACTCCCAGGAGAGAGCCATTTGCCTCTACGTGGATGAGGAGGGACAGTGGGGCACTGAGGACACTGGACAAGGCCGGCCAGCTGGGTAGGGCGGCTCTAGCCATGGCCCTGAGGGGTGGGGGTGTTCTCAAGGGCATGGCTGACTTCTGGTCACTCCTATTTCTGGCAGCCTGGGGTGGGAGGAGCGGAAGGGGCAGGGGGGCTGACCGGGACTCACAGACTCATTTCTGAAGCTCGTGGCAACCCCTGAAGTGCACACCCGCCACGGGGGGACGGCAGAGCGAGGGGCCATCACCGTGGCAGCCCTGGCCAGCGGGGGCCAGAGGGACAGCTGACATGTGCGAAGGCAGAAGGCAGCTTTCTGTGACCCGGCAGGGAATTGACGGTGACACCCTCTCAGGCCCCCTGTCTTGTACGTAGATGGCATCGGGGAGTGGGCAGGGGATGGGGCCACCGGTGGCCCTGGCTACCTGAGAAATGCCACGACCTTTGACAACTGGTGGTTTCACGGGACAGTCCTGTGGTCATTCCAGAGCTGTCACTTTTCTTCTGGAGCCCACCCCTCCCAGTGCACAGTACGTCCTGGCCGGTGTCACCCTTCTCCTGCCTTCTGCGTTGGGTCCCTCTTGCCAGTCTTACCAGGGCTGGAGTATTTTCTCCATTTGCTTTGTCAAGGAGGCTCTTAGTCTGTTTGAAGGAGCAGAAATTCTAAACCTAAATCCCCGGGATGAATTAAAGAAGAGACCCAGAGCCCTTGCTCAGTCGTGGGCTGGAGAATGAGGCGTGTCCTGAGAAACTTTCCACTACTTTCCTTGAGTCGATGTGTTCTCTCTGTTTCCTTTTTTTGCTTCAAAAGAAACTTCAGGGCAGCTGATCTGATAAGAGCTGCCTTATTAAAAAGATATTTTGCCTTGAAGTCATCTCCTTTCTTGCAAATGTTGAAAACCAACAGGGGTAGAGAGACGCGCCTCTCTGCAACATCTGATTCCCTCGCGTGTCCTCCCAGGCCCTAAGGAAAATTCGGTCACACACAGGCTGGGTCCGAACGTCCCAGCCATCCAGCCGGAGTTCAGGTCTCCAGGCGGCAGGAAGGAGGCCCCAACAGGCAAACTCGACACAGTTCTCACCTCTGGCAAGTGAGGGACTTCGGTGGGGCTGAAAATTGTTCATCACAGCAACAGCTCCCAGGCCTTCCTGCAAAGCAGCGCCCTAAGCTGCCCCTGGGCCCTGGTGCAGCCAGAGTCGACCCCAGGAGGCGCTGGCACCGTGACTGACAGGAGAACAAGAACGTTAGAAAAGAGAGCCAGAACCTTCCTTTGGCCACCTTTTCACGTGTCTCCTGAGAAGGCGGTAAGCAGCTGAGAGCGGTCTCCACGTGCATTAGGAATTCGTTTTAGGAAGCGGCACTGAGTAATTAGACACGCGTCTCAAAACAGATGTGCCCGTGCCTGCTTTGATGTCACCTGCTGTGGCTGCTTCTCTGTTAGTCTGGATGAGGGGGATTCTGTACAAATCCTGGAGGGCAGCTGGCACCCCTGGCCGGGACGGACTGTGAGCACAGCCAAGCTACAGAGCGAGCGAGGCAGGAGCCTGGGGTCGTGCTGTGATCTCCTGTGCTCGGCACTTCCCCGGACAAACGAGGACAGCACATCTGGGGTGACAGGCACCTGCTTCCTGGCACAAGCTGTGCTGAACTCACCGCCATGGTTACCACAGGCTCCTTGCTCAGCAACGACCCCAATGGGAGTCGTGGTCAACTTATCTTGAAGACAGTCTGGTGTGTGGCAGACAAAATGGGTCACCATTAGAGTAATGGAAACCAAGCAGAGAGCATCGTTTTACTTGTGAGCTGGCCTGCCTCCCCTAGAATCCCTGTTCACCACCGTCAGGAGAAACCAGCCCGAATCTGATGACCAGAAGAGCAAAGGTCCGGAGGACACCTGGGCCAGGGCCCCATGTGGGAGCTCCTTCCCCCATCCCCCCTGGCCACCCTCCTGAAGATGACGATCTAGTGAGACCAAAATACACAATGACAATTATATAAATAACCACCTCGTTATCATGAGAAGGAAGCGCATGGGTTCGGGGAGCCAGACCTGACAGGTGAGTGGGATTGGCCAGGTGAAAAGGGCCCAGCACTTTCCAGGTGGATGGGGTCACACACGTAAGCCCCCTTCTGCACCCTTTTCCCTTCCTTCTTCCTGATGCCTGGAATGTAGACGTGAGGGCTGGAGGTGAGCAGCTATTTTGGACCACAAGGTGATGGCTTCGGGTGACAGATAGCAAGACCGAAGGAGCCTGGGTCCTGGTAACTCTGGGTCCTGCAAAGCCTGGGTCCTGGGTTTGTTCACAACAGGCAGAAATAAACTCTCTTATTTAAGCCAGTGTTATTTGGGGGTCTCTATTATATGCAGTTAGAATCTCTTTGATCGGTTTCTCACACAAACAGTCAACAAATGTTAGATGAACGAGTTAATGAGTACAAACAAACGAGAGGGTACGGCACCTGCAATGCTGGGAAGGAGCTGATGTCGGGAGTCGGGCTCGTAAACCGGAGAGGCGTGGCCGAGACGTGACTGATGGACACCCCTGACCCGTCCGCAGTGATCTCGTTACTACTGAAAAAATGAGGCAGTGGCTCGGGAGCCGGCCGTGGCTCACTTGGGAGAGTGCGGTGCTGATAACACCAAGGCCATGGGTTTGGATCCCATATAGGGATGGCCGGTTCGCTCACTGGCTGAGCATGGTGCTGACAACACCAAGTCAAGGGTTGAGATCCCCTTACCGGTCATCTTTTAAAAAAAAAAAAAAAATGAGGCAGTGGCTCGATGATCTAAAATTGTTTTTATTGGACCCCACAGATATTTGTGTCCTCGTCCTCCCCTTCCATGGTTTCCAGCTGACCCCACCCCACCCAGACTCACTCCAGCTACTCGCAAGTCATGAAAATAATCCCCGAATTGCTCCCCTAAAGAAAACAGAAGCTTGCAAAGGGTGGCCAAAGGGAAAGTTATATCAACTTATATCAACCGATGGAGGTATGTCATTCTGTGAGTGAGTTTTTGAGCACGTGTACTTAATCATTCAATATAATTCTGTTAAATGGATTCATAATGCACGTAAAGATTTGCGTACTTTTCTCATAGAAACAATTGGTTGCTTTTACGAAGGGGTAGAGATAGTAGAAATCGGGGATTGGGGTGCAAGCTGAGAAGAAGCGAGGGCAGGTGGAGGAGAGGTCTGGAGGTCCGAGGACGTTTGGCGAGAGAATTCCGTCTTTCCTTTAAGTGGCCTTTGGGAAGGTCCCTTTCCCACTTTTGTATCCCTCCTGCTGGCCAGCGTCAGGCCCAGCTGCGTGGAGCCTTCAAAATGGTCTTTTATTGTGGATGGTGCTGTGCTCAACTAAAATCGGAATTCTGGGGTTAAAGATGGAGGGAAAGTTGGATGTGGGTGTAGGCAATTGGTAGACTCTGCTTCAGGCAGGGCCCTAAGGCCGGGCGTTTTCATGGTGGCAGATTTTGGTAACATTTGAAAGTAGCCAGGTCCAGTCAGTGAAGACCTGTCTCTGGCCACCTCAGCTCTCCGTGCTCCTTGTGCAAAGTCGCAGAGAGGCTGCAGGCCTTCCTGGCTCCTCTAAGGGGAGGGTGGCTTGGGGATGCATTTGGTTTGAGGTCAGTGGGGTACGTTCATCTGGTTCCTGGTGGGCACTCACAGAGGGTAGATTTGTCTCACTAACATGCAGCCGAGATGCTGCTGGCCGTCCGGGCCTGGGAATGGCTCCAGGAACACCCCGCTGCCCGCAGGCCCACTGCCCTGGCATCGAGACAGGTGATGGGATTGTTCCCTACAGCGTTGTTGGCCTCTCTCCGAGACTCGCTCTGAAAGCTGTCACCTCCCAGAGAGATGGGCTGGAAACAGGTCTGGGGTCTCTAGAAGACCGCAGAGATCTGCATCTTCCTAAGGTGCTGGGTCAGCTTTGACTGGATGACACACTCCGCTGGCATCTTGGGGCCACGGCCCTCTCATGAAGTCCCCGCTCTCCCGTCTATGCTAGGGTGACTAGAGCGAGGGCGTCACTCTAGATGGCCTTGCTTTGGTCGTCTTACAAGTCCCAGGCTCTTTGGCTTGAGCCATCTGTCCTTGAAGTGCCCTTTTCCTCCCTAAACCCACCTCAACATCTTCCCCCCCACAAACCACCTCCAGCTCACTCCTGCACTGCCCTGGGCCCTGTGCCAGGGAAGTGTCCACGCACCGCCGCCCCCGGCCCCACCTCCACCCGCCCCTCGGAATGAGCTTCCCCAGAAGCTGCTGGGAGTCTGGGAATCCAGCACCGCCCTGGGGTGACTCACCCCCTTGGTGTGAAGAGGGGAGGCTGCTAATGGCCCTGGGCTGACGGCCTGCGGTGGGGAGGGGCGGGGGAGCTGGTGACTCAGCTGCAGGCCTTGGACAGCTGCACCTGTTTCCTGGCCCTGAGTCAGGCCACCAGCAGCACCCCTGGGCCATATGGGAGCCCGTCTGGTAACAGGATGCGGGGGCAGTGTTGGAAGTAAGGGGGGCATTGCCACCTGGGGGCCTGAGCTCTGGAGAAGAGCAGCCCTACTCGGGCTCCGACCTGGTTCTCAGGGGCCCAAAATACTCGGGACTTTAAAACTATGAGCACTTAGGAAACCTGTGCTGAAGTATAAGCCACATACAGAAAGGTGCACAGATCAGTGTCGAGTTGGCTGTATGTTCACAAATACACCTGTCACCAGCTCCCACTCAACGTGTGACATGCCCGGTTCCCCAGGCCACCCCCTTGTCCCTTCCATCACTACGAGCCACCCCCTTCCAGGGGGACCCGCCACCAGACTTCCAACAGCAGTGATCATTTCGGCTGCTTCTGAACTTTAAAGGGGCTCACACTGCTTCTCGCCAGCGTCTGCCTCCTTCTCTCTTTTTGTCTGGGAGCGTCCCCTGCGATGCTTCGTGCCACTGTAAATCCAGAACCGGGCACATCTCAATCGCCGGCCCCGTGGGCTGAGTCAGCGCCATCCTGAGCTTCAGCTCCCTGTCTGTCAGAGGGTGACAGCGTCTCCCCAGCTTGTCCCCAGCACCGGGCACTGTGAATTGCTGTGGACTCATATCGTGGGGAGAGAGGCAGTGCTGGGAAGAGCCAACACCATTACCAGATTGATCCTCTCCTTTCAGCATCGATGGCTGTGTCCCTGAAGCAAAGTCCCCACTGGGGAGGGTCCAATGGCCCCCCGCCTGGTGCTGTCCAGCTGTCCCGCCCCTGGGGAAGCTCACTGGCCGGTGGTGTCTGGGTATGGGTTGATAGGAGACACTTTCTACCACCCCCACCCGGCTGAGTCAGGGCTGCCACGAGATGATCAACCTTTGTTCCATTCAAGGAAACCCACAGGAGGCCAGAAAACACGTGGGTTCAAGTCCCGCCTCTGCCTTCACATCTGTGTGGCCTTAACCCTGCACTAAGCCTCTCCGTGCCCCCATCTCCTCCCTTGTAAACTTCCCATTTCACAGGTCTCTATGGAAATGTAGTGGGGATTGGTGGAAAGGAACAGGTCAGCCAGCACAGGACTCTGAAGGCACTGACCGATTATCTAGAATGATCTGGACTGTAGGCCGGGAAATTCTGCAGCCCCTCAGGAAAAGGCCTTGCAGGACCTGTCTCTTTTGAACGCTGCCGACTGTGCCTTCAACTGTGCAATTGTAGTCTCAGTATTGACTTGCTTATTGTAAATGCTTCTTGTTAAAGCTGTTATTATTTGCAAAGGACGGGAAAGTGTAAAACCCAGACTGAAAATCACCCATAGTCATGGCACTTTTTAAAAAGTTTTTAAAATAAGAAATGCAAGTTCTGCCATCCATGTTTCTGGCTGAAACGTCTACAATGGGCCCGTGTGCTCTTCCAGGTGTTTCTGAGTTTTTACTTTAGTTAAACATGGAATTTTTTTTAAAAACCGAAATGGAATTTTTCTATGCTTTTTTTTTTGGCAACTTGCCTCTTTTGTTTTGTACATCTCAGATGTCTTTCCAGTTGAGGACTGCTGTGTTCTCTCCATGGACTGGGCACTACTCCTCTGTGGGCGAGACATACCCCAGCTGGCCCTCCCCAGCAGCGCTGGGCACTCGCGTAGTTCCTGTGTCCTGGGGAGTAATGCACATCCCCTGTAGACACCTTTCAGGATCAGGTGACAGCATGTTAGCGTGGGGCCAGGGAACACAAGGTGTGCACATTTCCACCTGTTAGAAACGACTAAATCACCTTCTGGAAAGACAGCACTAACCTACAGCCCCCTCAAGAGTCTAAGCGCCTTTGCCCCTCACCCCAGCTGCATGCTCGTGAACTTTTAATATTTCGCCAATTTGACAAGGGGGACGTTTATTCTGCTCGGGCTGCTGTAACAAAGTACCACAAGCGAGGCGGCTGGAGCAACAGAAAACCTGGGAAAATCTGCTCTGGTTTTGCCTGTTCTGGACATTTCATATAAACAGACTGTGTGGCCTTTTGCGTCTGACTTCTCTCACTTAGCATGTGTCGAGGTTCGTCCACGTGGCAGTACCTCACATTCCTTTTCATGGCTGAGTCGTATTCCATTCTGTGGCCAAATCTCATTTTTACCCATTTGTCAACTGATGGGCACTTTGGCAGTTATGAGTAATGTTGCTGTGAACATTCGTGTGCAAGTTTTTGTTTGAACA